CTGGGCGGCTCACAGTTAAAATCAAAAACCCCATCAACAATTAAAAATACCCCATAAATAAAGTAAATTAATCCATTAAAAATCAAATATAAAAAACAAACCCTGTACATAAATACTAAAAACATAGTTGCCATCTAGCTGGATTTTTGTCTGGATTTTTACAGCCCACATATAGCAGTCCTATTTTTGTCAGAACCATTAGAACTATAATAACTGTACTTTCCTTCTTATAGCAAAACAGAAGACAGACCATGTAGCCTTTAGCACTGAAGATGAGCCTGACAAAAAGAAGAAAGAGAAATTGCTGAAAATCAAAGTGAAAGAGATACCTGCCAATCTAGCAACGATGGAGGTAGAGTTTATTACGATTCATTCAGGTTTGAGATTATTTCATATTATTACTGTCTTCATTTGGAAAACTGAAATTCCAGTTTTGGAGCATCAACACAATTGCGTGTGGAATGCAAGAAAATTGGTATTTAATATAAAATGAAACTAGCTCAAATTTTGTATTCCTCTGAACAAAATAAGACACACAAGAACAGTTCTTCTGGATCAGAAAAGATTTCCATTATGAAAGCAATAAGACATCTTATTTGGTGTCAATGTTTGGTTTTCAAATTTCTGAACATAGAAGTTTGTCCAACAAACTTGAGAGGAAACACCACTAAATTTGCTTTAGGTGTTGGTTTGTTTATTTGATAAACTTATGAATTACAGTATAGTTTAGACTCTCAGGATAAGGTACATAAAAATATAAAAGAAAAAGAACAATAAAAGCAATTAATTCCTAAAATATAATAGTAATAAAACAGCAAAAACACAACTGAAAAAAAATACATGCAAAAAAGCAGTGTTAAATGTAAGACTTGACCTTTTCTTCCTTAGTGCTGAATTTTGGTCAATTTTTTTCCTCAAGATCTATGATGGTGACTTAGAGAGCGAATTCAACAATTTTGAAGACTGGGTAAAAACATTTGAACTCTTCCGAGGCAAAAATACTGATGAAGATCATACTGATTTTGAAGAGAGGATAATAGGGAAATTTAAGGTATTGTTAAAGATGGACAAAATATATATGTCATGTGTCAAGACAGAAATTCATGTTACTCGTTTGGCTGGGTAGTGCTTCAATCTTTGGAGTGTGTGCAAACACAAATGTAGCCCT